TGCCGAACGTCCGGCGCTGCCGCTCTGCCTTGAGCTGTGCGAGGACGAAGAGATGGAGCGACCATTTTTTGGTGTTGAGGGCTTCCCGGCCGCGCAAAAAGAATTTTGCGCGCACTCTTGCCAGTGTTGTGCGCAAAAAGAATTCAAGAGCGCGCTGGGTGTGAGGTAATCCATCTTACATTTACCCTGCGTTCTCGCACATGGAGTGCGAGGTATCTCGTCTGTCGCCGTCCCAAACTGTCACTCCCCTCTCTCCCGGCCGGGGTTGTTTCATAACATCGAAGGCTAAGCAAGCCCCGTCCCGATCTCTGTCAGCACTCCGCCGGCCGCGGACGGTGCACCGAGAAGGAAGGTCTCTCTCGGAGGGCGTCGTCTGCGGGATCGCACTCACCGTTGCGCTAGGGACGCGATCGGGCGATTTGAAGTCCAACTAGGCGTATGGCTTTCCCACCCAGGGCTATCACCTGGACCCCTCAATGGGTGGGCTTCCCACCGCCTCTGTATGTACCCAATAAAGTGCTAACACGACCCTCGGGCAGCAGGGGGTATGTGGCGAGCGCACGGAGGCACAGTTAGGCCGCCGTGATATCGCCCTTCCGGGCACCCCGTTTCGGTAGCCGTTTAGGGGTTTAAACAGCTAGCTCTAAAGGGGGTGGACCGTGAGTTGAGGAAATCGAGGGACGCGACCCACTTCGCCACAGACGGTCCCGCGCCACTGTCTTTGTCCGGAGTGAAAAGTCCAACGCGCTCGTCGGTGACGGTGTCCTCCAACCTGCGCCGCGCTCGGCGAACCTCGACAGCGCTTTCGGTGGCATGCAGCTCTTTGCGACAGAAGCCTGGAGAGCAGCTCCTCTGCTGCTCACACACTCTGCACAGTTGACACAGCCTACTGTGCGGCTGCCACAGCTGTGACAGCGATGGGCTCGCCCTCACTGGCCCTCAGTCACTTGTGCTGCGGCTTGTGTGAGCGACACTGCTCGGCGACTGCCGGCACACTGTGAGACCATGGGTGTGAGCGGTTAAACCACGCTACCAGCGCTTGGTCACATCGGCCCCGAGGTCAGATCCTTCTACTCTGTTGATGACAAGACTTGTCTACTGGCTGGAGCTGAGCAGGAGGGCCCAGCGCACAACCCCTGGTCAACTCAGGGTCCCCACAGGACTCAGTGGCCCACACCCCGCGTACGGCTCTACACCTGCTCGCGCTCACGCGCTGCACTCTCCCCCCCCCCGCGCGCGCCCGCCGCCCCGGAGAGGTTTATACAATTCCGGACGGAAAAAACGACCAGACAGCCTCGCAGGGTAGTGGTTCAACTGACTACTCTGATGAGGGGTTTGCTTTTGGCTGCGCCGCACACGGCGTCGACAACTTCACGCCTTTCGTGCTCACACGGTGCCGAAGGTGTTCTCCCCACTGTATGTCATGTAGAGAAACCCGTCCTCGTCCTTGTGGCTGTCGTAGACGGCCTGACATGTTGCGACCGTCGGCGGCAGCGTTCCTACCCCGCCAGTATCCGAAAGGTGAGTGGGAGGGGGCACGGCGGCGCCAGCTGCAGCGCGCGTGCCACGCGCCCTTGGACACAAAGAGGAAGATGGCCTGCTCGGGCTTGAGCGCTATCCTCTGCGAGACACACAGCGATGGTCGTCGGTGCAAAAGGGGCCAGCGGGCGCTCCGTCGCAACGGCCGCGCAGGCACAACGCGTCCGCCGCAGCGCCGTGTGTGCGTGTGTGCCGGCACCTTGCGAATCACGTACACAAACTGGCCGACGGTGAGGTCGGCAGGGACAAGGAACTTCTTCTTGTCAATCAGCGGCAGCGTCGCGTCGCGCGGCCGCTTCTCCACGATGACGGGGATGCGGTCCGGGTGCTTTGCACCTTTGGGGGCGGGCGGACGCACGGGAGCGTTGCGCGGGCAGGCGGCGGCAACAGCGGCTCGGGTTGGGAGCGCCGCGGCGGTGCGCACGGATAGCGAGCGCTTGTGTCCGCCGAGACTCGAAGGAGTGCGCGTCTCTGTAGGACATGGACAGGGCCAGCCAGGCAGGGAGAGCTCTCTCGGCGCTCCGTGCCAAAAAAAGAATTTTACGAAACGCACGACACGATTCACGCGACAGGCGAGGCGCGGGCGACAGCTTCCTCAGAAGCCATCGGCGCTCCGTGTGCCGCAAAAGAATTTACCTGAGTTTCCCTCTTTTTCTCTGTTTTCTTTCTTCTCTTAGGTCAGCGGTCGCCCGTTCATGGTGTGTGTCGTCGTGGTTAGAATACTCATCACTCACTCACACACATTTCACGGCCATACTCGAGTAAGTACTGTCTGACCTCCGATGAGTTTGCCCCGGCAGGGAGGGCGCCGCAATTCAGACAGAGAGAGAGGCTGCGGTCCGAATGATTTAAGAGTAGCTAGTACCGTAGTACGATGAGCAGGACGACGCGGATGATGGGCGCAGGGGGCGGGTGGGTGGGAGAGAAACTAGGATCGGTTGAGCCAGTCAGCCTCGCGGCGCAGGGAACTGGCTGGCTCGCTCGCTCCATCCACCGATCGATCGATGGCTGGCGTCAGCTGACTGACTGAGAGACTGCCTGCCTCCTTCCTGGAAGTCTCCGTCGGCCATTAAGAACCTTGCACAAAGTTCGCGGACCTGTCTCAACTTTGGTGTTCAAAGAACCTTGCACAAAGTCCGCGGACCTCTCTCTACTTCGGTGTTAAATGGGGGCGGGCGAGGGGGACTACTTTGTCGCTCACATATCGAATCCGTCCGAACTAAACGGCGAACCGCGGTATTCGTGTCATTCCACTCCCGGCTCACCCGTATGTCTTTATGGACGGGGGAGCTCCGGGGCGCGCCCCGGGCGGGGCGCCGGCAAGGCGGCGCGCGGCGCCAGTGCTGCCTCACGGCTGCGAGAGAGGGTGCGTGCGTGCGTACCCCCGCCCATAGCGCAACAATGACCATGACCGGCTAACACCGACTCGTGCCCAACTGTTCAGGACGAGCTGCCGGTGCCCACTCTGCCTGGGAGAGTACGAGCGGATGCACAATGACGGTGAAAGCGTGACACGGCGATACCCACTGCCTCGGTCGGCAGAGGCTGGCGCCGGTGCCGGTGCCGCCTCTGTGCTTCTCGGTGCTTCCCCGCCATCCCGCCGCGTGCATGGCCGAGGCAGTGGATGGTGCAGCACAGGCCAGAGGAGTGCGGAAGAGGAGCGGCGGGCGGTGGCGCGCGAGATGCTGCGCTATCTCAAGCCGCGGCCTTTCTCAGCCCCAGATAGGACGTCCAAGACGCCCAAACCAGAGTCAGAGCTGGGAGCGTTGTCGCAGCAGGCCGTCCGATGCCCCCCAGGCCGTCCTCACTCACGGGACCGCACGAGGCCGCCCCCACGTGCCGGTGACGCTGCCGTCAATGCGACGCTGATGCGAATGCAGCTCGAGCGAGACCGACAGCGGGCCAGGCCTGCTGAAGGCACAGCCGCACGCGACCACGAGTCACGCATGAATGATCTCAACACGAATCGGCGCACACAGTCGAGACATCCCAGGTGGCCTGTTGCGGCACCGACTTCCGACCTTCCCCTGCCCCACGTGTCTATGACGCCACCGACTTCTTCGTTCCTCCGACCACGCGGGCCTTCTCCACCGCTCGCTGCGACACACTATGGCGGACCGCTCCGCCACGCGCACTTGCCATGACTAATTTATTGAATGCGCAATGCTTTGTATCATTATGGTTATCGATACTGGGGGAGAACAGTCAGGCCCGGAGTGGATACGAGCGTATGCTCTTCTTTGCGCGAGGGAGTGTTGTGAAATCTGCCCACGAGTGTTGCGCGAGGGAGTTTTCTGTGTTAGTGCCAGTGCGTCTGCCAGTGCGTGCCAGTCCCGTGCCGAGTGTTGTGCGAGGCATTTTTGTGAAACTTTAACTTCTGCCTGCGTAGGCGGCTCTCGTGACCTATGTTCGTGCAAGTGCGCGCCAGTCCCGTGCCCAGTATAATGTGAAAGAATTTCACAGCACAAAAAACTCTCTCGCACGACACCCAGAGGGTACGGGATGGGGAATGGCACTATAACCTCTTATAAGGGACGCACAGCACAGCAGTGCAAAGAAAGAAAGAAAGTAAACAGACGTCCCAAGTTAGGGCTGGGGGGGAGGACATACACGTGCCCGGTGTCGTCTCGATAGAGTTTTCTTCTGGAAGTCTTCTGGTCCGGATGACCGGATCTCTGTCTGTCTGTCCATTCTCCGGAGAGACTGCCCGTGGCTGCGTGTGATTTGGCCCGGGGTTGTGTTTTGTGATTTGTGTGAATGTCTTCTAACCGCATGGCACCCTCGAGTGAGTCTTCCAGTTAAACGCGGGTTATAGCGCGGGTTCCATCCATCCACCGGGTCACCCGGCACCCGGCACTATAACCCCGGCACACCCGACGTACGATGCCCCCGATCAGGTAGCAGTCTCGGGTTAGGCTTGGGTGACCATGCTGCCACGACCCCTTGGAGGCGCAGGGCGCCCGCTCGAGTGACAGCCTTGCCAACCGCTCGCCGTGCTGGCCTGCCGAGTGACGCGCTGCTCGACGCTTGCTGCATCTCCGTGTCTGAGCCTCCGGCCCTCCGCGCGCTCGGAGAGGCCGTCGCCTGCGACGAGCGCGGAAGCCCAAAGCACACAAAATCCTGCGAGTACGCCGCCTTGACCTCACGATCGAGGGGGCCGTCCGAAACCACTGCACCTGGCTCGCATTCTGCTTGAGCCCGTGGTCGTCGTGTTCCATCAGCAGCTGTGTGTGTGAGGCGCGCGCGAGCTCCTTGCTACTGAGTTGCGAGTGCCGTCCCGACCAAGTGGATTCGGGCCGAGAACCAGCGCAGAGCCCTAACGCAAAGGCGGGAATGGCTGGGGCGTGGGGGGGCCACCCCCTACCCCCCCCACCCCTGCGGCGGCAGACAGAGCCGCCGGCCTCCCACCCCCTACCCCCCTACCCCAAATCCCCCGATGGCACCCTACCCTACGCCACAAACAGCCGGAACCCAGAAGCAACAAATTTTTGTGGTGACCCGGTTTTTCTTCTTTCTGGCGGCATGAGCGGCGCCAGCCCGACCCTGTTGCCCGAGCTGGCGGTGGGCGACCTGGCCGCGCTGCGCGCCTTCCTCTCCGGGTGTGGGACGCGCGGCACGTCGCTCACGGCCCAGCTCGACGCGCGGCTCGACACCGAGACGCAAGACACGTCGCTTACCTTGGCCACTCGTCACGGGCAAGCCGGTGCGGTGCGGCTGCTGCTCGACACCGACACGCAGGACACGCTGCTCACCTGGGCCGCTCGTCATGGGCAAGCCGAGGCGGTGCGGCTGCTGCTTGAGGCCGGTGCGAGCGTGGGGGCGACGAACGGCACCGGCCGCGCCGCGCTGTTCACCGCGTGCCAGAAGGGCCACCTCGAGATCGTCCGGCTGCTCCTCGAGGCCAGCGCGGCGGTCGACCAAGCCGCGGTCGGTGGCGTCACGCCGCTGTACATCGCGTCCTTGAAGGGCCACCTCGAGTGCGCCCGGCTGCTTCTCGCTGCTGGCGCGGCGGTCAACCAAGCTGCCGTCAGCGGCGCCACGCCACTGTACATGGCGTGCCAGCAGGGCCACCTCGACGTCGCACGGCTGCTCCAGCAGGCTGGCGCGGCGGTCAACCAAGCAATGAACGGCGGCTTCACACCGCTGTACGCCGCATGTCTGAACGGCCACCTCGAGTGCGCCCAGCTGCTCCTCCAGGCCAGCGCGGCGGTGAACCAAGCCGAGGAGGGTGGCGCCACGCCGCTGTTCATCACGTGCCAGCACGGCCACCTCGAGTGCGCTCAAGTGCTCCGGCAGGCCGGTGCGGCGCTCGACCAAGCCATGCATGACGGCCGCACGCCGCTGTACATGGCGTGCGACAAGGGCCAGATCGAGTGCGCCAGGCTCCTTCTCGAGGCCGGCGCGGTGATCAACCAAGCTAACGCTAAAGGCGTTACGCCGCTGAGCGCTGCGAGCCAGTCTGGCGAGATCGATTGCGTCTGGCTGATGATCGCCGCCGGCGCTGCGGTGAACCAAGCAGATTCTGACGGCTTCACGCCGCTGTACGCTGCGTGCCAGGAGGGCCACATCGAGTGCGCCCGACTCCTCCGCGACGCCGGCGCTTCGGTCAACCAAGCCACGGAGAACGGCTGCACGCCGCTGTTCATCGCGTGCCAGGAGGGGCAGATCGAGTGCGCCCGGCTGCTCCTCGAGGCCAACGCGGCGGTCGATCAAGCCATGGACGGCGGCGCCACGCCGCTGTCCATGGCGTGCCACAACGGCCACCTCGAGTGCGTCCGGCTGCTCCTCGAGGCCAGCGCGGCGGTCGGCCAAGCCAACACCAGAGGCGTCACGCCGCTGATCGCTGCGTGCTTCCAAGGCCACCTCGAGATCGCCCGGCTGCTTCTCGAGACCGGCGCGGCGGTCGACCAAGCCGACGAGGAAGGCGTCACGCCGCTGTTCATGGCGTGTCAGAACGGCCTCCTCGAGGTCGCCAAGCTCCTCTCCTCCTACGGCGCCTCCCGCGCCGCTACGCCCTTCGGCACGCCCGAGGAGGTTGCAAACAGCCAAGGCCACGCCGACCTCGCCGCTTGGCTGGTCGCCAGCCGCGGCTGGACGCCGCTCGCGCACCTTGAGAGCCTTACCGCCGCCCGCGCCCTCTCCCTGCTGCGCAGCGGCGCAAGCTTGCACGAGAGCGAGCCGACGCCGCTGCAGCGCGCCGCGGGCGGCGAGGGCGAGGCGGCGGCGCTGGTCCGGCGGGCGGCGGCGCCGTGGTCGCCGGCAAGCCACTCGCTCTTCCCCGCGGCGGCGCGCGAGTACGCGGTGGTGGTCATGCGCATCGGCTACCAGATCGCGCTCTCTCCGCCCGACGACGCCGAGGCGCGCCCGGACTGGAGCGCGCTGTCCGACGTGTGGCGCGAGCACGTGCTGCCACACGCGGTGGCGCGCTGAGGCCGAGTGAGGACGCGAGTGCCACGCGGCGGCGCTGATCCGGCGGGCGGCGGAGGCGGAGGCGGCGGAGGCGGAGGGGCAGGCAGCGTCGGAGCGCGAGGCGCTGGCCGCGCTGCAGCGCGTCGTGAGCGCGGACAGCGCCGCGGCGTTGCGTATCGCGATCGACGACGCCACGCCACACGCGGGGGCGCGATCGACGCCTTGGACGAGGAGCTTCGGCGCTCGGCGTTTCGCCTCGCAGCGCTTGAGGATGCCGAGGCGCCGGCGGCCGCTGCTCAGACAGCAACGGCAGTGGGCGAGGTTTAACTACTCATGTGCGTCGTGTGCATGGCCGAGCCGATCACGCACGTCATGGTCCCGTGCGGGCACCATTGCGTTTGCGAGGATTGCTCCAGTCGTCTCGAGGATCGATAGGAGAGACCCCCGGACGGCGCGCTCGCGAGGCCCAAAAACGAGACCCTGCGGCGAGACCCGAGCGGGGAGCCCCCGGCCCCCGGCTCTCATTGGTCACATTCTGTGTATATTTAGTGAGCTTTACTTCGAGTGTAGGCTGTAGCTTCGTAGTGTGTCCGATTTCCGTGTATGTACCGCCGCGGCACATGGCACTGCCGGCGACGCGTGCTCCGACCCGCACGTACAGACAGACGGTCTCGGCGCGGGGCGCGCTCGCTCACCACTGGCAAGTAGGTCGGATGGTCCGGCGGAGGGCGGAGGGCGGGCAGTGGGAGCGCCAACAGACAGGGGTGAGAGAATCCGGGTGTGACGGATCGAAAGGAGGAAGGGGCCCTCATGCAGCGCCCGGGTTGGCTTCGGGAGGACATCATGCTTCAGTTCGGCTCGGCGGCATTCGCCTCTGCCTCGGCGTGCGCCTGTCCGCCTGTCGTGGTGGCGTTGCCGGCATACGCCTGGAGCACAGCCGCGGTCTCGTGCGTGCGCCGCATCCAAGTGATGAGCTGCCTGTGGTTGTACGAGACAAAGTGCGCCTGCAGGGACGCCGGCGAGAGGTGATGGGCGCGCCACAGCCGCACGGCGTCTGGTTGGGCGAAGGGGGGCGGCGCGCGTTGGCAGCGCCCGGGTCGATGAGCACGTACATGGACGACCCGTTGGGCTCGGTGGGGTCGGGCACGACCGCGACGTCGACGTTGAGCGGCACACGCATCACGCCGCTCACCTGCAGGGCGCGGAGGGGGGGAGGGTTGCGTGTGCCTGCGTGCGTGTGTGTGCAAGTGTGCGTGCGTGCGTGCATGCGTGCGTGCGTGCGTGCGTGCGTGCGTGTGTGTGTGCGCGGTGTGTGTGCAAACCCGTCGCGGCTGCGTGACGGGCGTGCCGTGCCGTGAGGAAGAGAGATGGGCAGGCGAGGAGGAGGAGAGGAGGAGGTGGAGAGCGGCGCTGCGCTCACCTCGGGCGCCGCCGCATCGATCGTGGGCCGCATGCGGCAGGTGTGTGTGCCTGTCCGCAACACACGGCGTTAGTGGCCGTCGATTCACAAGCCGCAGGCAGAGATGGGCGGGTGCGCCGTCGGTGATGGACCAGACGGAGCGGAAGACGAGGTCGCGCTGCTGAAAGAACTTGGAGAGGCCGGAGTCGTGCCGCGTGGTCGCGTGCAGCACCTGCACACACAGCGCCCGGCTCGAGTCCTCTCGTGGGGGTCTTCTCGGGCACCGTCGGGCGGGCTGCGCACTTGCTCAAAGCACGGGCCGCAATCGTTGACCCACCACGGCACCCCGCCACCCTCGGACAGCACGCGGACCTGTCCGATGACGCCGTCCGCCTCGCCCCACTGCCCCAGCGTGTGGCGCACGGCCGCGGCGACCATTGCGGGCATGGCGGGGACACCCTCGGCCACCGCGCGCCAGAGCAGCCGCCCACCCCGCTGCCGCCAGGAGACGTGCATGTTCCCCTGCGACGACATGACGGTCCAGCTTTCCGCCGCGGCGAGCTCGGCGAGCTGAAGGATGGGCCCGTCGTCAGGCGCCGTCGCCAGCGCGCTGCCGTACGGCGTCGGAAAGGCCGGCGGCATGCCGGGCAAATGAGTCACCCCCAGCGGCGAGAGCGACGCCTCGCCCTGTTGGGCTGCGCCGCCGGGCGCGTGCAGCGGGATGGCGGCGCTCACAGGCACGGCGCCGCCGTACGCGCCGCTGGCCTCAGCGCCCATGGCAGAGACGAGGTCGGAGAAGAGGGAGCTGTCGCCGCCGCCGGCGACGCCGCCGCCCGCCAGCGCCACGGACGAGAAGGCGTGGAGACCGGCATCGGCGACGTCCACAGTGAGCCCGCCGCCCATGCCCGCCCCGCCGACGCCCAAGCCGCCGACGCCCAAGCCGGAGCTCAGTCCAGACGCGGACATGCCGAGCGGAGAGAGGGGCGCCAGCGCTAGCTCGCTGGCCGGTGACATGCTCCGCAGTGGCAGCGCCGCCGCGGCCGCGGCGGCGGCGGCGGCAGCTGCGGCGGCGGCACTGGCGGCGGCGGCGGCGGCGGCGGCGGTGGCGGCGGGCTGCCGCAGCTGCGCGCGCGACGCGAGCTGGCCGTGCGGCGGCTGCTGGGGGAGGGGGAGGCCGCTGGGCGCCTCCGTCGCGCGCTTCTTGTTCTTGTC